AGCGAGCTCTCCCCAAGCTTTCTGATAACCCGAGACTCCTTCGCAATTCCTCCTATCCGCCTACCTTTCCCTTACCTACCTACGTTACCTACCTCGAGCTATCGCTATTATACCTACACCTAATTATTTTCCCGTTAATTGCGAGCTTGCGCCTGGGAAAGAAAACGAGCAAAAGAATCCTCGGGTCTCACTGTCCGATAGTTGTATATTTCGACCCTTCCATCCGTCGCTCATCCGTCGAATATCTACTGGGTAAATACTATGGGAAGCTTTGTTTTCAAGTGGTAAGTCGAAACAACGCAATTTCTCGACCATGGACGACGGCATGAGGCAACCCGAGCGGGCGAGCGCATCTCTTGTGACGGCTAAGACCGGGCCCTTTTATTGCACCTCCTTTGTCTCTCTGTCTCGCCCTCCTTCGATGTCTGTCCCACAGCCTCGGACACTTTGTCGCAATTGCCGACGTAAGGGCGCCTTGTGCCCTGCGAATATCCCTTTGCGAGGTCGCGTGACGTTCTGGTTACTTCAACTGAACAATTTACTGACGAGGCTCCTCGATAGGAATTATCCTGCTACCGCAGTCTACGTGACTGGCACTTTCGACGACTGGAAGAAAACCGAGCAGCTGGAAAAAGTGGGCGACGGCTTCGAGAAAAAGGTCACCCTGCCCGACGCTTCCACCAAAATCCTCTACAAGGTTCGTCGCTCTTTATATATAGCTCCCTCGTCACCATTATCCGAGTCTCCTTTCCTATGTAGTTGCCCTATGCGCCCGTCTCCTTTGACACGAATACCTATGCCCACTCCAGTTCAAGGCGGCACCTCTCCAATCCACGGAAGGGCAAGACGCCATTAGGCGATGATCTAGGACCTATTAGGACCTAGGACGGGCCACCTAGGCGCCCACCGCTACTTTCAGCCTACCTACCAACCCCATCCATCTAGCATATTGATTGCACCATCGTCGTGTGCCCTAGTGTCCCCTCGGCGGTCCAATTGCCAAATCTACTACTCTCGTGCAATATGAGGCAGCGCGCCTCACCACATTCCTTAGGCGCATGTGGCATATGACGCAATTGGGACATGGAGTTCCCTGCCTGTTCTGACTGGGTAGCTGGGTGGCTTGGGCGGTGATCCTGATAGGTCAATTGATTGGAGTGTGGTGCATTTGCTTTACCCAAATTAAGAACTCTATCATGGAAGGCCTGTACACATAAGCCTGTGCGCATATATGTACGCCCAGGCGAGTGCTGGGCATGAGCCTCTTCTACCCAGCGGCACGTGGTGGGCTCTGCATATCCACACGGCCTCAGCCAGCCAGCGTAAACGCACGGAGACATTCCCTTAGACAGGGCGAGCCAGCGAGCACATAATAGCGGAACCGGCATTCCTTACACCCTGCGTGCATGCATTCCAGCCCGCCGGAGTACTGTAGGATGCGAGCAGAAGCTGAGCAGAGCAGTGCTCCGGGCTGCCTGTTAATTCGTTAGTTTAGCATGGATGCTAGTCTTGCCTCTCCCTTGTGTGCAGGGTGCCTGCCCGCGCGTACATGCGCTAGGCTTTGGGCTTTTAAGCTCTAGCCTCGAAGTTTGCTTAGCGTCCCCCTCCTGAGCAACATTGCCCGCCCCCAATCTCCGCTCCATGCCTGGTTATAACCCGCCCGTCTCCTCCCACATTGTTCGTCCTAACTAACTGGGGTCTTCCGTATAGTTTGTTGTCGATGGTGACTGGGTAATTGACCCCGCCGCGCCCAAGGAAAGTGACGAGAACGGAAACGACAATAACGTCTTGACCCCCGACCAGATCATCATGGAGGCTCCCGCTACTGCTGCCATATTGAGCTCGGCTGCGCCAGAGTCTACTACCGCCGCCTTGGCTGCTGGTGTTCCCTTGGAAAAGGACAAGGTAGAGACTACGGAGAAGGCTGAGGAAGAGGTAAAAGAAGAGAAGACCGAGGAGGGCCTACCTGGAACTTTCCCCGAAACCCCAGCTGCTGAGCTCAACAATGATGCGACCTTCGGTGTCAATCCGCTACCGGCTGCTGCAGGCGCAGTTAACCCAATCAAGCTCGCGCCTGGAGAGAAGATCCCCGAGGAGCTTGCTGCTGAGAGCACCACCAGCAATGTAAAATTAGACCCCGAGTCCTATGAGAAGAGCGACACACTCCCAGGTACGTTTCCACGAACATATCAAGAGTTCGCTGCCACATTTTGTGACTAGAAATATTAACTTGATATAGGAGGTGCTGCTACTATTCTCTCCTCGGCCGCTCCGGAATCGACTACTGCTGCCCTCGCCGCTGATGCACCCATTGAGCATAAGGTTCCTGAAATCGTGAAAGAGAGCCAGGAGAAAGCAGATTTTAGCCCGGAGGCTAGTGCGGTGCCCGAAGAGGTTGAGGAGAAGGCGGCTGTTGAGAAGGAGCTGCTAGAAAAGGTGAAGGAGGCTCCATCTACCTCTGAAGGCACTGCCGGTAAGGGTACTGAAAAGACTGAGGATGTTGTTACCCCTGGCGAAGCTACTGCATCTATTGCAGCCGCCGTGTCAGTAGCTGCTGGAGCTGCTGTTGCCGGGGCTATTGCCGCCAAAGATCTTGCCGTTGACAAGGCACAAGAGGCTATTTCAACTGCTCAGACTACCGCCACTTCTGCTGCCACCCAGCTCCCTGATTCAGTCAAAGAGAAGCTACCCGAATCTGTTCAGAACGCCATCGGCACGACACAAAAGGAAGAGACGCGGGAAGAAGTCTCTCCTGAGGTGCCCGCCGAAGTTAAGGAATCTATTATTGAGGCTGGCGAGTCCCCAGAGGCAGCTGCCAACACAGAAGCCGTCGAGGAGAAGAAGGCCGTTGAAGCTGAGCTGCTTAGCGAAGTTAAGCCTGTTGAGACGACAAATGGGCATCCCCCCGAAGAGGTCTCCTCCGAAGTCCCTGCCGCCGTCAAAGAGTCCATTGCCGAGTCAGGAGCATCTCCAGAGGCTGCCACGAATGCCGAGGCCGTTGAGGAAAAGAAGGCTGTAGAGACCGAGTTGCTGGAGGAGGTCAAGCCTACGGAAGCAGCTGATGGGTCTGCCCCGAAGGATGTCCCAGCTACAACCGAGCCAGAGGCACCGGCAGCAACCGAAGCCCCAGAAGCCAAGGAAACCCCCGTACTGGCTGTCCCGGCCACAACAGAAGCACCGGCCACATCGGTAGCCGCGGCCACCACGGAGACCCCGGCTGTCGCCGCAGAGGAGACTCCAGCTGCTAAGGCATCTGAGCCCGCTGAGCAAGAGACAGCCACGAATGGCTCTAAAGCCGCTGCTGCGGAGGAGGCCACCCCATCCAACGGGAGTGCGGCTACCGGGGAAAAGAAAAAGAAGAACCGACTCAGCACCATATTCGGAAAGGTGAAGGCAAAACTATCACACAAAAATTAATCAGCCCAGGGTTCCAGGCCCCGGTCGCTTTTCCAATGGACGAATCCGGTTGTTTTTGGTCAAGTTGATTTTCCTTTGAAGCTCATGATTCCCCCAATGCGTCTCCCGAGTCTAGCAGATTGACGACGGCGGATCGGCATCGGCGTCGCGCACTTTTCGGACATCTTAATCTAGTAGTGTGCATACATAAAAGATGTATTGATACAAGTTTGCCTGAATCCATCTCATGAAACAATAACCTGGCTAGAACTAATTATATAAATATGATATTCCTGTGAAGGATGTTTTCTAAATAACCTTTTTTTGATTGAGATGATGAGTTGCAATGTGTGTTCACTTGTGATGCAGCTCCCTGCCGGCCTATTAACAGGTCTGCTCGGGTTCAGATAGCTCGACTTGTCATTGACACTTACAAGTCTGGTAAAGTCTTTATTCAACAATAGTGTTCCGGTTTAAAGTAAAATAAACAACGGTGTATCTAGCCATGTCAGGAATCCTTAATTGCCTATGTATTATCACCCTGTGCTTGGGAAACGTGAAACGATTAAAAGCATAAGGATGTTTCTTTGAATCTAATCTAAGCTCATACTGTCAACTATAACCTGCCTATACTCTCAACACCTCGAACACCGTCAGTAGTCCAGAAAATTGTGCGATCAAAAAGTAAGAATTGGAAAAATATCTTCCGAGCTTATAGCTGCTTCGGCTTTCATTGGTCACATAATAAATTACGGCTCAGCCATTACGTCTGCGGAGTCCAAATAAATCGTAAAGAAGCCGAAGGCGCGGCTTATTTTCACCTTCATTGGCTATAACTTAACACGGCCAGGATTATCGGGACAACCAGAGTCCGATCATACGCATGCTTATAACAACTTTAGCATTTTATTACAGTGCCCAACGCCCTCAGCACTACGGGACACCGACCGATCAAAGAACCAAGTCCAAAAAGAAGGAGCCTCATGTCATTCTGATGCTTGCCATAACGTCGATTAAGGCCTGATTGTATCCCTCATAGTGGCCTCTTCTCTCTTTCATTCAACTCTCTCAGTTTTACCACTCCCAACGGAACACCCTTAGTACTCGAAAAAATTGTGCGGTAAGAAATTAAAAACTAGGAAAAAAAAGAAAAGAAAGAAAGAAAAAAGATTCTTTACTATTTTCCAAGCTTGTAGCTATCTTCAACTTTATGGTAATTATGGCTCAGCACATGTATCTCACCGGCATCTCACTGCCATTAAAATTGTAGAAAATAGCGAAGGCGCGGGCTGTTTTCACCTCCATTGGCTATAACTTAGCACTGCTAGGATTAGCTATTCAGAACCTGATCTGATCCAATCCATGCTTATAACAACTCCAGCACCGTATTACAGCTCTCAGTAGTAACTTTACGTTTCAACCCTCAGCACTGCAGAACACCGACCGATTAAAAATTCAAGTTCAAAGATGTTCCTCAGCTTCTGAGACCAATACAACCGACTAGGGCCTGATTCTGTCTCTTGTGACTCGTACTCTCTCTCCCCAAACAACTAGCACTGCGAGACACCGACCTTCAACGCCTCAAATCCAAAAAGATGTTTCGCCGACCAGGGCCTGATTCGAACAGACGCTCCCGAAGGAAGTAGATTTCTAGTCTACCGCGTTAACCACTCCGCCACCTGGCCATTCGCTTGCCGCTTATGATGAATCTGAATCGGTAATGGGATACAGATAGGTGGGTTAGATGGTAGTATGTAACTATGCGCGGGACAACGGTTAGTCGGGGTGACTATTGGTTGTCGGCGGAGGTGGAGTTGTACGGTTTCTGCACTTGCCCCTCATAGCACTCATAGCGGTCCCACTAGCCGGAAACAGTGTAGCTTTTCATTCGTTAGCTATGGTCTAGTTGATTTGCACGGTGCAAGGCAGTGAGTGCTGTCGGCCCACTTACTGTGGCGTCAGTCGGATTGGCGAATTCAAGCCGGCATCAGTGAGGGACTCTGTCTCATCCGTCACCTACAGACTATTCTGGACACACCGTATTAGCCCCGCCGAGTCGTGACTCTTCCCCCCCGGATCATACCCAGACAGTGTGTCTGCTGCCTCAGCACCTTCGGGGTCCGTCCGTTGAGGACCCTTTACTCAACTACCTGCATCGTGCCCTGAACCGGTTGTCCATCAATACTGTTTATTCCATTATTATCCAATCCCCCTTCAGCCCTCAGGTACTACTAGTCATTCCGTATCTCTTATCACGACGGTTTATGACGTTTTAATTCGTCCCAACCACTGCCTCGGGTCGTCGTGCTTGGCATGTAGCCACCATGAGCTCTGGTGGTTCGAGCAACCTGGGAGCCAAATCCCTTCCAACTCCGGCATCGTATAGCTCTTCTACACAGCAGATCTCCGCTCCGCAGTCCAGCTTCGAGTCCGGCTCGCGACGTTCCGGTCCGTCGAGCGCCTTCTTTCCCAACTCAGCAGCCCCGAGGAAGGGGCAGGCGTCGCGGAAACAGCACCGGCACCAGCGGAGACCGAACGGGAACCCGGATGATGACGACGCCATGGCAGAGCTCGTAAGCTGACCTGACACGAGATAATCACCTCGTTTTGTACTTTGACTTTCACGTTTTACATGTCCGGGGGAACTCGCTAATTGCAGCGGGGAACAGAGAGCCGTCCGGAATGCCTCCAGTCGCCGCGGACAAACGTCCATCACCCATCTTCTAAACTACTCGGTTCCCTCGCGTCACTACCACCACCACCAAGATCACCACAGGGCAGCCCGCCGTCATCCTACGTGGAGCTCCGGTTCGGGCTACCATGCTGCAGATAAGGCTAGGTTTGTAACAACCGCACCTCCCGGGATCTCCTCCAAGGGTAATGCTAACGCGCGCTGGCCAGATTCGTCCATGCGAATTACCGCTTCATAGTCTCGCCGACAGGCGACTATAGTGCCCAAGCCGTCGACGCAGACAAGCACCTCGACTGGTCCGACGTGCTCCAGATCATCGCCTCCTCCAAATCCCAGACTACCTCCTGCCCTATATGCTTCTGCGATCCTGTAGCACCCCGCATGGCTCGATGCGGTCATATTTTTTGTCTTCCCTGTCTGATGAGATATATGCACTCGACGAATGATGATGAGCCTATTCCCAGGAAAGAGGCACGCTGGAAGAAGTGTCCCATCTGCGATGACTCTTTCCGCCTTGCAGAAGTTCGGCCAGTCCGTTTCTACGAGGGCCAGGAGAATCCCCTACCTGGCGTAGGGGAAGATGTTGTTTTACGGTTAATGGTACGCGAGGCCGGCTCTACATTGGCACTCCCGGATGAAGGAGGTAGCGATGTTGCAAATCTGAGCGAGGATGTTCCGTGGCATTTCGCCGCCAGTGTCATGGACTATGCCCGAATCATGAAGGGGACCAACGAGTACGTCGTCGAACAGTTCGAGCGCGAGATGGAAGATCTACGAAAACAAGCACAGGAGGACGAGATTCAATATGGTGTTGAGGAGGGTGATTGGCCTCAGCGGGCAATAAGAGCAATCAACACAGCCAAGGAGAAGTTGCAGGACCAGAAACAGGAGTTGGACTCTACGCGTTCCGCGGCAGACTTAAAATCCAAACATCCTGCCAAACAGAAGTTCCATTTCTACACTGCGCCGCCGCACTTATACCTATCGCCCCTCGACATCCGCATCCTCAAAACGAAGTTTGGCGACTTCTCAAATTTCCCATCGACGCTTCTTCCCCGGGTCGAACATATCTCGGCCGGTCATGTGGTAGACGATGCCTTGCGGAAACGAGCAAAGTATTTAGCACATCTTCCTCAGGGGTGTGTCGTGAGTTTTCTGGAGTGTGACTGGACCGACATTGTGCCTCCCGAGATACTAGACACTTTCTCGACCGATTTAGAACGGCGAAGGAAGCTACATCGAGACAAAGCGGCACAGGAAGACCGAGAGAGACTACAAGCAGAGCGGTTAGAGGCCGCGGCCATCGGTCGTAGTACCCGACGCCATTTCGATAACCTCAACGGAGACAGCTTCGAACCAACTCCTGTTATGAACTCCGAAGACTTCCAACCCTTAGGCCCGCCACCCGGAACATCACCGCCTACGCCTCGGCCGGGATTTGAACAGCTTGCTGATATGTCTACGAGTCCAACCACATCAAAAACAGTATGGGGCACACGGGCTATCCCCGTTTCGCCTGATCTTAGACCCGTTTCGGAACATCAGCCGGACGATGGGTGGCTCAAAGAAGATGATTTCCTCGGAGCAGCGGAGGTTGCCATGCAGATGGAAGCCTTCGGCCTTGATGGTGGCGGTTCGGCCTCAGGCTCAAATACTGCACCAGGTGCTACCGGCGGTAAGAAAAAAAAGAAACAGAAAATCACATTAATGAGTACTGGTGGCCGCAGAGGAACATGATACTGAAGCCAGATGCATCAATATTCGATCGATCTCCCTATTGAGCTGAGATCCCGGAGTGCAAAGGCGTTTTGGTGACAGTATTAAGCATATTATTGGTATTATTTGGTGTATGCATAATTAACTGCCCCCAGGGCATTGATGCTGATGATAGCAGCCCCGGAACCAGAATAAGAATACAAGACTACCCGAGGAAACTCGCATTGAGTGTGGAAGCCCTCGGAGTCCTTGAAATCATTCTAGATATTTTTACTCTAGACGAAGACAGAATTACTCCGTTCGTGAGATATGAAGTATATCTAACTTCGTCTAAAATTTGATCTTCACTCGTCCGTTAACGTAATTCAACCTCCTCATCTTATCTTATCTTCAGCTCCCCGCATGGTAACCAACCAATGGCAACATACGATGCCAAGGATGTAGGTGAGGACTAATACATAAAATGATAGATATATATAAAGGCAGTTCCGTTTCTTATCTACGACTTAGGGTATCTCATAATTCTTTCAACTTACCGTGAGCTTTCTAATATAGGTATACGTCTATTCTCTAATAGTCGCAGAGCCCCGCCTCACCCAAATTCTGGAGAACAGAGCGAGAGGGTCTAGAATAGTCAACTCACAGGGTATGAAGAATGGTGTCAGATGGTGATGGTAGCGGTGATGGCGGCGCCCTCCTCCCGCCCCGCCTACACATCGACCCGCCGCTCTTCAACTCGGCGAACCCGTGGGCGACGACGCTGGAGCAGCTCCGCGCGCTGCACGCGTGCGAGGCCACCGGGGCCGTGACGACAAGGACGGCGCTGCTTGGCGAGGGGTTTCCGCATGATGATGCCGTGCATCAATACGCGTTCTTTGAGGCTGGGACGCATCGCGTGGAGATCGGGTCTGGGGGCTTGGGTGTGGATGCGAGTTTGAATACCCTGGGGTACAGCCCGATTCTACTAGAGGGGTACCTGGGGTTTATAAAGATTATTGATGAGGAGGTGAAGGGGGAAGAGAAGAGGAAGAGAAAACCGTTCATCGTCTCCGTCACGGGTACCCCGGATGAAGTCGCGGAGTGCTATAGGCGCATAGCGGAGTTTGCAAATACGGTGGCCGTCCCATTGGCTATGGAGGTCAATCTCTCGTGTCCGAATATACCAGGCAAGCCGCCGCCTGCGTACGAAGGGGAGGCATTAAGGGGATATGTGAGGCGCATTACAGAGGTTGTGGCGGAGAGAAAGGAAGAAGGGAAAAGGATCCCGTGGGGTTTAAAGACGCCGCCGTACACGCATGCGGGGCAGTTTGAGATGTTCGTCTCCGCGCTCCGGGATTGCGCTGTGCCTTCATCTTCACCAGAGACGGGGACGGTGGATAGTGGAGTAGTGAGAATATGTCCCGTCAGCTTCGTCACGGCGACGAACACCCTTGGCTCGTGTCTGCTCCTTGGCGACACCAGAAGCGAGACTAAGAATGAGAGTGAGAGCCCAGATAAATCCGGTAAATCATTCTCCCCAGCACTCCCGGGGCTCGGCATCGGAGGCGTAGCCGGCGCGCCGCTGCACCCCCTCGCCCTCGGAAACGTGGCCACGCTCCGACGCATGCTGGACGCCGCGCCCGAGACGAGACACGTCGCCGTGCTCGGCATCGGCGGCGTCGCGGACGCGGCGGGGTATAAGCGGATGCGGAGCGTGGGCGCTGCGGCAGTTGGCGTTGGGACTGCGCTGGGGATTAAGGGGGTTGCGGTCTTTGGGGAGATTGAGGTGGGTTTAGGGGGTGTTTGGGGGGTTTGAGGGAGTTTGTGTTGTTATATAATGGTAGAGAGAGTATATATATGCGAATCTATAGGCTTTCGAAATGCACAGATCAGAATAATCCTGAAGGAGTCTTTTCACAACGCCGGAATCTTGAATCCGACAGCATTGGAGCACACTATCAGACGTACAACACAAACGCTAGAAAACAAAATCCAGGCCTTGGAGCACCACGTCGGCGGCATCAAGAAGCGACTATCGTCAGATTTAGCAACGCAGGGCCCCCTAATACATGAGTAGTATACCACAGATGAGCAAAAGAGGATCTAGCGGGGTGCCACGCTCCGAATCTATTCGTTAGGTCCTCTAATTATATCTTAATAGATACAAATAAACTAACTCCAGGACGTCGCCGTGATGACTAGGCAGAAAGTCTACTACATACACTGTGCCCATCGAGCCGTCAGAGTAAGTGGGCGAGCAAGTTCGGGTTCGAATTCGTTACTAATCAGGGAGCGACT